ATTACTTTTACTATTTCTTGCAAATAATACAATCTTTCACTTGAGTTCATATTCTAGAAAAATCTGAGGGTTATGTTACATGTAATTATAGTAGAAATAAGTGGAGATGGCTGTGAGGATTGTTTTGTGTAGCGTCTTCATGTGAATGAGTGAAGGAAATGCGTCCCAGGAGAAATGCTGGCCCCAGGAGCTAGGTCAGTGAGAGGAGAGGCGTGGCCCGGGAGTCTTCCTGCACACAGCTGCCTTGTCCCCTGCACTATACCTGCGCAGTCACCTTGGTCCTTGGGGTCCAGGCTGAGCGTCAAAGCTTAGTCGGAGCGTGGGTGTGTTATAATCTTCTGTTTTGTCCTTGAAGCTTAGTACACTTTACTTCCTCACTCTGTTTTTGTGTTCTTTTAGAAACTCTGACACGGTTTACCCCAGTGACCCCAGGGAAAAATCATGCACTGTATGAAATCACTTAAAATAGGGAAATAACCTACAGTTTCCCAGGATTTCCTAAAGCATTATCTTGTAGGCTGTACCCTCCCAGAAATGCCACCTTGGCTTTAAATGTGACAACTGCACAGTATTTGCACCCTCAACAAAAGAGGTGCACATAGGCTTTCATTCCTCTGTCCAGACTCCCTTTTCCTCTTCACTGTTTTCTAGATTTAGCAGAATTCAATGACGGTGCTACATCAGTTTTTTTTTTTTTTAACTTTCAAGGGAGAACACGCTGGCAGAATGGTATTTCCTAGGGAAAGCCGTGTCTAAATGAGGAACGGAGGAGAGCAGCCGCGTGCTCTCCTGTGGCCCCCCGACAAGCAGCTCTGCCCATATTGTCTCTGCTTTTATATTAATTACAACTTGCATTATCAGCTCGAGTCCGTGGCCCAGCAAATAGAAAGTACTGCCCCTGGAGACAGAGCTTCTTGTGTCTATTTTCCTTCCATTGTGCTTCACTCAGTATTCACTGCTTTGCTCCTGGTAACTCTTGTTCTTTAACACAATTACGTCACAGTAAGAAGTGTACCATATTTGACTCCCAATTATGGAAGCCACTGGGAATAGAAACATGTTCTCCTTGTGCCCTGGGGTTTCTTCTTGATACTTGTGCTGGAGAACAGGACACATGATGTGGAATGCACATACCTCTAGAGTCTGCACTCTGCACAGAGATCATCTCTCTATTCTTCAACAGACGTCATGTGTTTTTACGTGATTTCGTATGCCACTTTGGTTTCAGGATTTACTAAACTCCTGAATCTAATTTGGCAGAAAGCCAGGCACTTATTCTTGAAGGATGTAAACTTGGAAACTCTCTAGGAAGAAAAGAAGGAGTGGTGATACAAACAAATATTCTAATTTGAAAATCCCAGCATTATGGGCAATGTTCTATGTTGTCCTTGTGGGTTACCTTTTTTTTTTTTTTGCCAGTCATGGGGCTTGAACTCTGGGCCTGGGCGCTGTCCCTCAGCTCTTCAGCTCAAGGCGAGCACTCTACCGCTTGAGCCACAGTGCCACTTCTGGTTTTCTGTTTTTTTTTTTAATTGGAGATATGAGTCTCATGGACTTTCCTCGCTTTGAATCATGATCTGGACTGGCTTTGAATTGTGATCCTCAGATCTCAGCCTCCTGAGTAGCTAGGATTATAGGCATGAGCCACTGGTGCCCGGCTTGGGTTACCATGTTTTATGACCAAGGGAGGACCAACTTTTTTTCTACTGACAAGAGTCTCAGTGTGTCTGTATGTATGATGACATCACCAATGTAGAACCAAGTACAGACACCAGGTTAACTCCTCAGCCTTGAATCTATTCCTCCTGCCTTCTTTCAAGTTACATAGCTATCATGTGATGCTCCATAGTTCATCCCAGCCCACAACACAGAACATAACACCTGGTGATACTGTGGCAGTAGACATGAGACTCTTCCAGAATAATGTTTTTGAGAGATGGAGAGAAGAGGAAAGAGATAGGGGAATTGTAGGCAAGAGAAGGAACATGAAAAAATTTGGGGACTAATATAACTTGTTTGGAGAAACCACTATTTTTTTTCTTTTTCTTTCTTTCTCTCTTCACCTCCCTCCCTCCCTCCTTGTTTCCCT